AGAAGGCGCTTCAGCATGCGCTTGAGGAGCGGGAGAGATCGCATCGTTTGGCATCTTGGTTTTCGGCAGAAGCAGCAAGCGTTGAGCGCGTTGGTTTTCGGGCCGTTTTTTTCCAAGATTCTAGTAATATTGCCTTGCTGTTTCCGCTGGCACAGAGTGGGGGGTTCATTCTTGACGATTCAACGGTGCCTCGGAGCCACTGAGCAACTTCCAGGTGATGACATATCTTTGGTGTATTTTGGCGTTTGGCCCTTGCCATTAGTTGACGCGGTAGGAGCAGCGTGCCGAGCACGAAGCCAAGTTGCAGGCTGGCACCGGTAACATATGCCTGTGCATGACGTAAGTCAACAGTTTGCTACCCCGACACTTGGTATTGCGACGCAATGTGTGTGTGTGTGGGTGGGCCTATGGTGGGCCTGTTGCGGAATCAGTCCATGCTACTTTTGCCACCACATACATGAATAGTCGCCGGCCATTGCCATGGGACATGAGATTCCGCACGCTGAATCATGTCCGATCTTTCAATGCAGCAGCTGTAAGGGCGAATGGGAAACTAAAGATGGAGCAATTCGATTATGTTTAGGTGCAGCAGCAGCAGCAGCAGCAGGAGGAGGAGGAGCAGCAGCACAAGGGAGAGGCCGGGGCCGGCGTTGTGTGACCTGCGCTGTCACAGATTTGAATAGTTTGTTTTTCAGTTCTTACCCTTGCAGGGCCACATGATTCTCCGTAGGGTCGCTAGGATGTTGACTCCAAAGCGGCCCCTGTCAGGAAGACCAGACTGCCGACAAACTCGGCATTCAGAAGGCACTTGAGGTGCGCCAGCTGCGCGCTTGAGTACTATCGACACAAGATGACAGTCGTTTAGTTTGGCAAGATAAAGATGCTGAGCACAGGAATAAATTGGAGGCCAATTGGAGGGTTGAGCCACAGCGTTGTTTGTCAAGTTTTAATGTTTGACAGTCCCATCAACGCTAATTCAGGTCCAGAAAGGTTGAGAGGGGCTGTGTTTGCCTGAAATTGCAATTGCAATTGAAGAGTTTTCCCTCAGGAGCAGCAAAGTCAACACCAGCTGTCGCTTCAGCGCGCGCTTGAGGAGTGGAGATTCTTGATGTTGCGTTGATGCGTATTCTTTTGGCATAGTGTGGCAGCGTGCTTGACTAGTCAACAGTTTCTTGGCGCCACTGAACAGGTTGTGCAAGCGAATCCCTGCAAATCAGATGTTGAAGAGATGTGTGATTAGCCGTGGTGACATGGCAGAAGCAACCTGGCGAGCATGCGGCCAAGTTGAAGGCACATGCTTTGCCACCCAGGAACCAACCATCAAGAAAACTATTTGGCCTGCAGGAGAAGGATGCTGAGCAGAGAGGGAAGTTGGAGGCCGACTGGAGGGTTGCCCCGAAGCTGCCTGATCCGCATATTGCAATGTTTTAATTGTGTCTCCGCAGAAACAGGCTGAGTTTCGGGCGCCCCATTGCATGGCTGAGCTGCCCGGGCTGCGCTGACCTGAATTGCCACTGAAGTGTCGCCGCAGGAGCAACAAGCTCAACACCAGAAGGCGCTTCAGCATGCGCTTGAGGAGCGGGAGAGATCGCATCGTTTGGCATCTTGGTTTTCGGCAGAAGCAGCAAGCGTTGAGCGCGTTGGTTTTCGGGCCGGTCTTTTGCAAGATTCTAGTAATATTGCCTTGCTGTTTCCGTTGGCACAGAGTGGGGGGTTCATTCTTGACGATTCAACGGTGCCTCGGAGCCACTGAGCAACTTCCAGACCAGCATGGTGATGACATATCTTTGGTGCATTTTGGCGTTTGGCCCTTGCCATTAGTTGACGCGGTAGGAGCAGCGTGCCGAGCACGAAGCCAAGTTGCAGGCTGGCACCGGTAACATATGCCTGTGCATGACGTAAGTCAACAGTTTGCTACCCCGACACTTGGTATTGCGACGCAATGTGTGTTTGTGTGTGTGGGTGGGCCTATGGTGGGCCTGTTGCGGAATCAATCCATGCTAATATTGCCACATATTGGCCACATACATGAACACAAGTCGGCCATTGCCATGGGACATGAGATTCCGACGCTGAATCATGTCCGATTTTTTGATGCAGTAGCTGCAAGGGCGAATGGGAAACTAAAGACGGAGCAATTCGATTATGTTATGCCAGGAGATGGACAAGCAACAGCAGCAGCAGCAGGAGCAGCAGCACAAGGGAGAGAGTCTGGGGCTGGCGTTGTATGACCTGCTCTGTCACGGATCTGAATTATTTGTGTATTAGTGCTTACCCTTGCAGAGCCACATGATGCTCAATAGGGTCGCTAGGATGTTGACTCCAAAGCAGCGCCTGTCAGGAAGACCAGACTTCCGACAAACTCGGCATTCAGAAGGCACTTGAGGTGCGCCAGCTGCGCGCTTCAGTACTATCGACACAAGATGACAGTCGTTTAGTTTGGCAAGATCAATATGCTGAGCACAGAAATAAATTGGAGGCCAATTGGAGGGTTGAGCCACAGCGTTGTTTGTCAAGTTTTAATGTTTGACAATCCCATCAACGCTAATTCAGGTCCAGAAAGGTTGAGAGGGGCTGTGTTTGCCTGAAATTGCAATTGCAATTGAAGAGTTTTCCCTCAGGAGCAGCAAAGTCAACACCAGCTGTCGCTTCAGCGCGCGCTTGAGGAGTGGAGATTCTTGATGTTGCGTTGACGCGTATTCTTTTGGCATAGTGTGGCAGCGTGCTTGACTAGTCAACAGTTTCTTGGCGCCACTGCACAGGTTGCGCAGAAACAGGCTGAGTTTCGGGCGCCCCATTGCATGGCTGAGCTGCCCGGGCTGCGCTGACCTGAATTGCCACTGAAGTGTCGCCGCAGGAGCAACAAGCTCAACACCAGAAGGCGCTTCAGCATGCGCTTGAGGAGCGGGAGAGATCGCATCGTTTGGCATCTTGGTTTTCGGCAGAAGCAGCAAGCGTTGAGCGCGTTGGTTTTCGGGCCGGTCTTTTGCAAGATTCTAGTAATATTGCCTTGCTGTTTCCGTTGGCACAGAGTGGGGGGTTCATGCTTGACGATTCAACGGTGCCTCGGAGCCACTGAGCAACTTCCAGACCAGCATGGTGGTGACATATCTTTGGTGTATTTTGGCGTTTGGCCCTTGCCATTAGTTGTCGCGGTAGGAGCAGCGTGCCGAGCACGAAGCCAAGTTGCAGGCTGGCACCGCTAACATATGCCTGTGCATGACGTAAGTCATCAGTTTGCTACCACGATACTTGGTATTGCGACGCAATATGTGTGTGTGTGTGTGTGGGTGGGCCTATGGTGGGCCTGTTGCGGAATCAATCCATGCTAATATTGCCACATATTGGCCACATACATGAACACAAGTCGGCCATTGCCATGGGACATGAGATTCCGCACGCTGAATCATGTCCGATCTTTGTTGATGCAGTAGCTGCAAGGGCGAATGGGAAACTAAAGACGGAGCAATTCGATTATGTTATACCAAGAGATGGACAAGCAACAGCAGCAGCAGCAGGAGCAGCAGCACAAGGGAGAGGCTGGGGCTGGCGTTGTATGACCTGCTCTGTCACAAAACTGAATCATTTGTGTATTAGTGCTTACCCTTGCAGAGCCACATGATGCTCAATAGGGTCGCTAGGATGTTGACTCCAAAGCAGCCCCTGTCAGGAAGACCAGACTTCCGACAAGCTCAGCATTCAGAAGGCACTTGAGGTGCGCCAGCTGCGCGCTTCAGTACTATCGACACAAGATGACAGTCGTTTAGTTTGGCAACAGTAATGTGCTGAGCACAGGAATAAATTGGAGGCTGATTGCAGGGTTGAGCCACACTTGCCGTTTGTCAAGTTTCAATGTTTGACAGTCCCAGCACAGCTAATTCAGGTCCAGAAAGGTTGAGAGGGGCTGTGTTTGCCTGAAATTGCAATTGCAATTGAAGAGTTTTCCCTCAGGAGCAACAAAGTCAACACCAGCTGTCGCTTCAGCGCGCGCTTGAGGAGTGGAGATTCTTGATGTTGCGTTGATGCGTATTATTTTGGCATAGTGTGGCAGCGTGCTTGACTAGTCAACAGTTTCAGGTTGTGCAAGCTAATCCCTGCAGATCAGATGTTGAAGAGATATGTGATTAGCGTGGTGACATGGCAGAACAAACCTGGCGAGCATGCGGCCAAGTTGAAGGCGCATGCTTTGCCACCCAGGAACCAACCATCAAGAAAACTGTTTGGCCTGCAGGAGAAAGATGCTGAGCAGAGAGGGAAGCTGGAGGCCGACTGGAGGGTTGCCCCGAGCTGCCTGATCCGCATATTGCAATGTTTTAATTGTGTCTCCGCAGAAACAGGCTGAGTTTCGGGCGCCCCATTGCATGGCTGAGCTGCCCGGGCTGCGCTGACCTGAATTGCCACTGAAGTGTCGCCGCAGGAGCAACAAGCTCAACACCAGAAGGCGCTTCAGCATGCGCTTGAGGAGCGGGAGAGATCGCATCGTTTGGCATCTTGGTTTTCGGGCCGGTCTTTTTCAAGATTCTAGTAGTATTGCCTTGCTGTTTCCGTTGGCACAGAGTGGGGGGTTCATTCTTGACGATTCAACGGTGCCTCGGAGCCACTGAGCAACTTCCAGACCAGCATGGTGATGACATATCTTTGGTGTATTTTGGCGTTTGGCCCTTGCCATTAGTTGTCGCGGTAGGAGCAGCGTGCCGAGCACGAAGCCAAGTTGCAGGCTGGCACCGGTAACATATGCCTGTGCATGACGTAAGTCAACAGTTTGCTACCCCGACACTTGGTATTGCGACGCAATATGTGTGTGTGTGGGTGGGCCTATGGTGGGCCTGTTGCGGAATCAGTCCATGCTACTTTTGTCACCACATACATGAATAGTCGCCGGCCATTGCCATGGGACATCGGATTCCGCACGCTGAATCATGTCCGATCTTTCGATGCAGCAGCTGTAAGGGACAATGGGAAACTAAAGACGGAGCAATTCGATTATGTTTTGCCAGGAGATGGACAAGCAACAGCAGCAGCAGCAGGAGCAGCAGCACAAGGGAGAGGCCGGGGCCGGCGTTGTGTGACCTGCGCTGTCACAGATTTGAATAGTTTGTTTTTCAGTTCTTACCCTTGCAGGGCCACATGATTCTCCGTAGGGTCGCTAGGATGTTGACTCCAAAGCGGCGCTTTGCCAGGAAGACCAGACTGCCGACAAACTCGGCATTCAGAAGGCACTTGAGGTGCGCCAGCTGCGCGCTTGAGTACTATCGACACAAGATGACAGTCGTTTAGTTTGGCAAGATAAATATGCTGAGCACAGGAATAAATTGGAGGCCAATTGGAGGGTAGAGCCACAGCGTTGTTTGTCAAGTTTTAATGTTTGACAGTCCCATCAACGCTAATTCAGGTCCAGAAAGGTTGGGAGGGGCTGTGTTTGCCCGAAATTGCAATTGCAATTGAAGAGTTTTCCCTCAGGAGCAGCAAAGTCAACACCAGCTGTCGCTTCAGCGCGCGCTTGAGGAGTGGAGACTCTTGATGTTGCGTTGATGCGTATTCTTTTGGCATAGTGTGGCAGCGTGCTTGACTAGTCAACAGTTTCTTGGCGCCACTGAACAGGTTGTGCAAGCTAATCCCTGCAGATCAGATGTTGAAGAGATGTGTGATTAGCCGTGGTGACATGGCAAAAGCAACCTGGCGAGCATGCGGCCAAGTTGAAGGCACATGCTTTGCCACCCAGGAACCAACCATCAAGAAAACTATTTGGCCTGCAGGACAAAGATGCTGAGCAGAGAGGGAAGTTGGAGGCCGACTGGAGGGTTGCCCCATGTTTTAATCGTGTCTCCGCAGAAACAGGCTGAGTTTCGGGCGCCCCATTGCATGGCTGAGCTGCCCGGGCTGCGCTGACCTGAATTGCCACTGAAGTGTCGCCGCAGGAGCAACAAGCTCAATACCAGAAGGCGCTTCAGCATGCGCTTGAGGAGCGGGAGAGATCGCATCGTTTGGCATCTTGGTTTTCGGCAGAAGCAGCAAGCGTTGAGCGCGTTGGTTTTCGGGCCGGTCTTTTTCAAGATTCTAGTAGTATTGCCTTGCTGTTTCCGTTGGCACAGAGTGGGGGGGTTCATTCTTGACGATTCAACGGTGCCTCGGAGCCACTGAGCAACTTCCAGACCAGCATGGTGATGACATATGTTTGGTGTATTTTGGCGTTTGGCCCTTGCCATTAGTTGACGCGGTAGGAGCAGCGTGCCGAGCACGAAGCCAAGTTGCAGGCTGGCACCGCTAACATATGCCTGTGCATGACGTAAGTCAACAGTTTGCTACCCCGACACTTGGTATTGCGACGCAATATGTGTGTGTGTGTGGGTGGGCCTATGGTGGGCCTGTTGCGGAATCAATCCATGCTAATATTGCCACATATTGGCCACATACATGAACACAAGTCGGCCATTGCCATGGGACATGAGATTCCGACGCTGAATCATGTCCGATTGTTTGATGCAGTAGCTGCAAGGGCGAATGGGAAACTAAAGACGGAGCAATTCGATTATGTTATGCCAGGAGATGGACAAGCAACAGCAGCAGCAGCAGGAGCAGCAGCACAAGGGAGAGAGTCTGGGGCTGGCGTTGTATGACCTGCTCTGTCACAAGACTGAATCATTTGTGTATTAGTGGCGCCTGTCAGGAAGACCAGACTTCCGACAAGCTCGGCATTCAGAAGGCACTTGAGGTGCGCCAGCTGCGCGCTTGAGTACTATCGACACAAGATGACAGTCGTTTAGTTTGGCAAGATCAATATGCTGAGCACAGAAATAATTTGGAGGCCAATTGAAGGGTAGAGCCACAGCGTTGTTTGTCAAGTTTTAATGTTTGACAGTCCCATCAACGCTAATTCAGGTCCAGAAAGGTTGAGAGGGGCTGTGATTGAATGAAATTGCAATTCCAATTGAAGAGTTTTCCCTCAGGAGCAGCAAAGTCAACACCAGCTGTCGCTTCAGCGCGCGCTTGAGGAGTGGAGATTCTTGATGTTGCGTTGATGCGTATTCTTTTGGCATAGTGTGGCAGCGTGCTTGACTAGTCAACAGTTTCTTGGCGCCACTGAACAGGTTGCACAGAAACAGGCTGAGTTTCGGGCGCCCCATTGCATGGCTGAGCTGCCCGGGCTGCGCTGACCTGAATTGCCACTGAAGTGTCGCCGCAGGAGCAAGAAGCTCAACACCAGAAGGCGCTTCAGCATGCGCTTGAGGAGCGGGAGAGATCGCATCGTTTGGCATCTTGGTTTTCGGCAGAAGCAGCAAGCGTTGAAGTAATATATTGCCTTGCTGTTGCCGTTGGCACAGAGTGGGGGGTTCATTCTTGACGATTCAACGGTGCCTCGGAGCCACTGAGCAACTTCCAGACCAGCATGGTGATGACATATCTTTGGTGCATTTTGGCGTTTGGCCCTTGCCATTAGTTGACGCGGTAGGAGCAGCGTGCCGAGCACGAAGCCAAGTTGCAGGCTGGCACCGCTAACATATGCCTGTGCATGACGTAAGTCAACAGTTTGCTACCCCGACACTTGGTATTGCGACGCAATGTGTGTGTGTGTGTGGGTGGGCCTATGGTGGGCCTGTTGCGGAATCAGTCCATGCTACTTTTGCCACCACATACATGAATAGTCGCCGGCCATTGCCATGGGACATGATATTCCGCACGCTGAATCATGTCCGATCTTTCGATGCAGCAGCTGTAAGGGCGAATGAGGGAAGCTAGAGATCAATTAATTCGATTGTGCTTTGAAGGAGCTGGACAAGCAGCAGCAGCAGCAGCAGCAGCAGCAGGAGCAGAAGCGCAATGGCAGTCGAGAGGCTGGGGCTGGCGTTGTGTGACCTGCGCTGTCACAGAACTGAATAGTTTGTTTATCAGTTCTTACCCTTGCAGGGCCACATGATGCTCAGTAGGGTCGCTAGGATGTTGACTCCAAGGTAGCGCCTGTCAGGAAGACCAGACTTCCGACAAGCTCGGCATTCAGAAGGCACTTGAGGTGCGCCAGCTGCGCGCTTCAGTACTATCGACACAAGATGACAGTCGTTTAGTTTGGCAACAGTAATGTGCTGAGCACAGGAATCAATTGGAGGCTGATTGCAGGGTTGAGCCACACTTGCCGTTTGTCAAGTTTCAATGTTTGACAGTCCCAGCACAGCTAATTTAGGTGAAGCAATGCTGAGAGGGTCTGTGTTTGCCTGAAATTGCAGTTGCAATTAGAGAGCTTCCCGTCAGGAGCAGCAAAGTCAACATCAGCTGTCGCTTCAGCGCGCGCTTGAGGAGTGGAGTTTTTCAAGAGCGCGCATTGATTCGTGGTGTTGCAGCGGTATTGACTTTCAACGGTTCCTTGGCCTCACTGTACGGACTAGGCACGCTGTTCCTTGCAGACCAGATGTTGACGCGATATGCTATGCGGTCCTTGGTAGTGACATGGCAGAAGCAACCTGGCGAGCGTGCGGCCAAGTTGAAGGCGCATGCTTCGCCACCCGGGACCCAACCATCAGGAAAACCGTTTGTCCTGCAGGAGAAAGACGCGCAGCTGCCCTTGCTGCGCTCACCTGAAGTTGCCACTGCCGCCGAAGCGTCGCCTCAGCAACAAGCTCAACACCAGGCGCTTCAGCACGCGCAGGAGCGGGGGAGATCGCATCGTTTGGCATGTTGGCTTTCGGCACGAGCAGCGAGTGTTGAGCGTGCTGGTTTTTTGTTTTTTTCGGGCCCAGCTTTCTCAGTCAGTATTTGCTTTGTATTGTGTGACTCTGTGACCTAGTTTGGCAGCGTGTTTGACTACTCAACGGGCCCACTTAACAGCTTCCAGACTAGCATGATGATGACACATTAGGCCTTGCTTCGCCGTTACCCTTAGTGCGGGGGAGTGTTAAGTACAGGGTGATGCACAAGCTGACAGGCAAAAGGCTCTTGAGAAATTAGAACTGCGGCCGCCTGGGAAGTCATTTGGATCTCATTGGCCCCTAACTGTTCTGTATTTCCTCCCCCTCTTTTGTCTTCAGGGGGAATACATTTGTCAAAGCCAATGGGCTCTCCATTGGGACTCCCCATTTACTATTAGCTAGCTGACGCTAGTGTACATGGTAGGAACAGCGCGACGGGCATTTGCAGGCTGGCACCGGTAACAATGTGGATTGTCTGAGCATGACGTACTTGAACTTGTTCAGCAGTTTGCACCTAGACTTAGCATTGTATTGTCTCCCTTGTTTGATTCACGCTATCCCAAAATGAAAGTCATCCGACTTTGATTTGTTGCGACAGCTTGCAAGTGCCTGTATGATCAATCAGCTAAGCGCGACAAGCATTTGGAGGACCCTCTGCGTTTTACAGCCTCAGTCATGGGCCAACATGTTGAAGCCTGCACGCTTCTGATTAGAACCTCATCCTTCGTGCCGCGCCCACGACATGTTGCTCTGGTGGATACCCTCCGAGAGGAAATGTGACATCCTGCAAAAGTGTTTGTATTTTGTCACCCTACGTCGCGTAGCGGGCAATACTCACGTCAGTGCATGTCAGTTTCTGCAGCAAAGTTCGAGATATGTGGAGCATGCCCGTCAAATTAAGTGACCAGAGAATCACTGGTTCTTTCTCATTATTTTCTAAATGTCCCATTCTGTGCGGGGGGGGGAGAATATTTGAGAGTTCAACATGACTCATGGGTACTTCGATTCCCAGGCTCAGCAAAGTCAACAGGCGCTTGAGCGATCGCTGGAGGACTGACCAGCTGTTTAATCGTTGGCTGGGGAACAGCTTGGTCCATGGATTGTTAATGCTCCGCTTTCAAAGAGGTTGCCCTGGTTTCTCCATCATAGACTACCGATATGTTATCTGAATTGTGTCAACATGGTAAAGCTTCTCGGGCCACTTGCAACGCTCAAGTTTTGCAATTGGCTCGGTGAACTTCAGGCGCACACCTGCCAGAACCCTGAAGAAAAGCCTCGATCGGCGCGTGTGCACTTTTGAAAGAGTGTTGCTGGAGAGGTTGATTGCTGACTGCAATTCTTGAGCAACGGCCAGCATCCGCAAGTCTTTGTTTTGTTTCAAAATGAGCTGTCCATCAACCCTGAGTTAATGCACGAAACTGGCGGGACTGCTCATCAGCTTTCCATGCAATGACTGGGTCCCCTTCAAAGGTGGGCCACAACAAAGCGCCAAGGTCCCATTGTCCGCGTTCGAGCGCCCATTGTTGGGTTTCCGCTGCATTTCGCACTTTCTGACTGGACTGACCGATTTAAGCAACAAGGCGTCAACCACGCGCCACTGGAGCGGAGATCATGTTTGTTCGTCCAAAGGCCCGCTCCATACCTTGATGGCTTTCTGGTTCCCTTCAAAAGACATGAGGGGATTCATGCCTGTATGAATTTCTGTATGGCACTCAAATCGAGATGTTCAAAGTATCCATGCGCCGCTTGCGGGAATGCATCCACTGCATGTTATCGCAGGAGATGCGAGCTAAGTGCGCGAAGCTAGAGGCCGGCTGGCTCAGCTCAAGTGCGGCCAGACGCGTCGATCGACCGACCATCTCGGAATTAGTAATTACGACAATGCATCGGGAGGCCGCGTCCCAAATTTGCAGAATTTAATTAAGCTTGGAAGACCAGTGCGGGAAGCAAGTCTAGAAAGAGAGATCGTCCTCCGGCCAATCCACTTAGGGATTGAGGTTTCGCTGCAAGCATCTCACATCCAAACAGGCCGGCTTCTTCGAAATGGCCACGCAGCTGGGTTTATCTGGGCGTGCACTCAAAGGGCAACAATGTGCAATCGTTTGTCCCCTTTTGACCAGCTGTTCGACCAACGTCGTCCTGAAAGATTGTTGTTAGATCTGCGGACATGCGATGCATGACCTTTCAGCAGGGGTCCAGTCAAGGATGGGCAAGACTGTATTTGGTTTGCCAGGCAGAACATGCTCGACATCAAGCAGAGCTGAAGACGGCTCTTCAGGACAGTGACGCAGATTGCCCTGTAGCCGAGGTAGCTGATTCAGAATGAACATTTTGAACAACTTGCTATTGGGGTCTCCTTTGGAGGGTCAGGCGTTAACACTGGGCCAAAAGTCAGCGAAGGCTGCGTCTTATGTTCTTGGCTATTTGGCTCGTTTCTGACCTCGAGCCTCTATCAAATACACGGATTGGACAGCCATGCTCTATAAATTGAGAATGTGATGTGTTGACGATTAGAGGGGTCGCAGTGTGGTCAAGTGCTTGGTCCAAGTGAGTGACAATCAAAACCCGGGTAATTGGAGGGTAGTAAGGCACAATCCCAGCCATAAATGGGATGCGACCGCCTTGGCAATGACATGGTTCTGGGTAGACCCTTTTAATACCGGTTTCTGATCGCGACTCAAGTGTAGTAAATCAATCATCAGAACTTGCCTTTTCTCATCAGACCAAGCTAACTCTACCCTCCTCCATTTTTCGTGGCAGGAAAGGTCGGCTCCAGCCTAGTGCCTTTTGCCCGCATTTTGCGTGCCTTTTGAGGCACAGCGAGCCAAGCAACAGCTTGATCTGCAGAAGTTGCTGCAGGCGACGTTTGGTTTTGCGGCGGGCGTCACCGATGTGCCCCTCAAAATACATGGTGCTCCCTCTCACATGTGCTCGAGGACAAAAACCTGCTCATTATTCACCAACCTGAAAGAAGGTACCCCTACAACAGGCACCGTCAGAAAGGGGCACGAGGTCGTAAGCAGAATCCCGTTGTAGCCTTGCCTCTTCTTCTTTTGGCAAGGCTCAGCAGAGTTCAAAATAGGTTGGGCAAACTGGAGCTGCTGTTTAGAGTCTGTGTACACCGTGGGCCCGTGGCAAAATGGCAGTACACCCTAATGCGCTGGTGGGAGGCTGCGAGTTTGAGTCCTTCCACTGGCCCTTATGTTGAAACACCGCCGTTTGGCAGGGACCATGGTTGTCATTAGAGTGGAGAGTCGATGCAAGATGTGGACAGGCCTAAACTGACATGAGCAACGCAGCTGCCAGATTGGAAGACAAAACCCCCTATCCAGTTGCACCGAGTTGCCAGAAGTCATGATGCGACACCCATGTTGACAACTGGACATGGCCACCAGTGGATCACCCCTCTGGTGTTGCGGTGTTCCTTGAAAAACAACGTAGCTCCGAGTCCTTTGCAGGAGAAGGACGTGGATCATCGGAAGAGCCTCAAGGCTGTGGATTCCTGGAACATGTGCGTAGAGACGCAATGGCGCATCTTACTGTAATATGTGTGTGTGTGTGTGTTTTGTCAGGGTTTTACAGGGACACCAAAAGAAAGCCATCTACTTTGTGGGTTTTTCTATGTTGATGCACCCCCATAATATATCACCTAATATGAAGTATAGCGATTCAAAGTGTGGCCATGGGGCAGTCGCCGTTTCCCTGATTTGGGCAAACAAGAAGTGGCACCCAATCTGTCCGCGTCTCATGAGAACCTCCCACATTTCAGGAGACTCAGGGAGAAACCAAACAAGCATTTGGAGGATTCCGGTGTGAACTGCGGATGGAGCACGAGGTCTGGATCCACTGGCCAGCGGGTTTGTGTCGCCTTCAACAAATATCCCACACACCATTTTTTGTCAAACATGCACCCTTTGTGCTTGGAAAACATGTGCCATGGTCAAAGGACCCGGCCAACCAATCGGATCATGAGCCCTTCAGAAGGGAAGCTGGACAGCCATTGCAAATCCTTTGGGGAACCTGGCCTTGATCCAGACAAGATGTTGCAACCTCATTAAAGTTGACCCCTGATTCATAGCCCTCAGTTGACTACAGGGGTGCACCGGAATAAAGCAGTCCCCAGTAAAAAGGGTACGCCCGAAATAAGAAGCAGCGGGTTGGTTCACAAGGGTCAACATTGCACATTGCCCTCGCTCTGCGATTCACTCCGATTCGAGGCTCAGGAGGAGCAGCATCGTGACGTGGAGCAGGCACTGCAGGCCCCTCTTTGCCTTTGGAAGGAGTTGAGGCAGTCCAAGAAGACAAGACATCCAGATCCCAACCCGAGCTGGAGCAGAGATTTGTGTTTCCTTTTTTCTCTCCGGGAAGAATGCCAAGCCTGCAGGCAAAGGATGAGGACCACCGAAGACAAACGCAGGCCGGCATTCCGAAGGCTAAAATATGAGGCCTGCGCGTGGACATGCGGTGTTTTGATGAAAGGATTACACATGGTTTAGGATTTGGCTGAAGCGGTGGTACCCTTTGCCGAGAGGGTTGGCTACCCATTTCCATGCACACATGCACGAGACGCCAGGAACTGCAGGAGCTGCAGCAACGCTTTGCGGATCAGGCGATTGCATGGGCGGATGTATAAGAGTGTTGCTATGCCTTGCCGGCTTACTTCTTGAGACTTTTGATGTGCACTAACATGTTCAATGCAGATGCTTGGCATTTGCGGATGCAGACGATGTTCATGATGGTACAACCTTCAACTTCAATACAATCGGCATGATGCAAGCAAAAGGTAGGGGAGGTCGCAGTATATGCGTTTGCGAGTAAGCCAATTGATAGATCCTGGACTGTTTTCTTCAATGATAGACCTGAAAGGATTGATGGCAGACTCCTGGGTATCTCGGTGGTGCGTGAGATGCGAGAGATAAGCAATGGCCAAACTCAACCTTTAGTTCTTGCGGGGGGATTAACCATCAATCTGGATTGTCCAAAATCCGGCAAGGAAGAGGCCATGAAAAAGCTGCGGGCAGAAAAGGAAGAGGCCTCACAAGAGCTGCTGCAGACAAGTAGAGAGACGAAGAGGCTACCAGCTGAGCTTGAGCGCAAGGCAAACCCTGGGGCACAGCCTTTGGCCGTGGAATCCCAGCCGACGGAGCTCACCGGAGCTTCCCAGGGATTGGAAGAAACGCGTGTCAGTTTGAAACCAGCAGTGGCAGAGGGAGACACATTGCAAAGACAGGTGGACAAAGCCAAGCAGACTCAAGAACCGCAAAGCCAAGGAGACGTGGGAAGCCAACTGCAGGAAAGTTCCCACAAGTTGCAAGAGACCCGGGAAGCTTTGCAAGCTGCCCTTGATGAGAAAGAATCCCTGCAGAACGAGGTCGAGACTGTCAGAAGGCAGGCTGCAGAAGCGCAGGAAAGCCCGGAAGACTTGGCAAGGCGGCTGCAGGAAAGTTCCCACAAGTTGCAAGAGACCCGCGAAGCTTCGCAAGTTGCCCTTGATGAGAAAGAATCCCTGCAGAACGAGGTCGAGACTGTCAGAAGGCAGGCTGCAGAAGCTGAGGCGCATTCGCAGGAAAGCCCACAAGACTTGGCAAGGCGACTGCAGGAAAGTTCCCACAAGTTGCAAGAGACCCGGGAAGCTTTGCAAGCTGCCCTTGATGAGAAAGAAACCCTGCAGAACGAGGTCGAGACAGTCAGAAGGCAGGCTGCAGAAGCTGAGGTGCATTCGCAGGAAAGCCCACAAGACTTGGCAAGGCGACTGCAGGAAAGTTCCCACAAGTTGCAAGAGACCCGGGAAGCTTTGCAAGCTGCCCTTGATGAGAAAGAATCCCTGCAGAACGAGGTTGAGACTGTCAGAAGGCAGGCTGCAGAAGCTGAGGCGCATTCGCAGGAAAGCCCACAAGACTTGGCAAGGCGACTGCAGGAAAGTTCCCACAAGTTGCAAGAGACCCGGGAAGCTTTGCAAGCTGCCCTTGATGAGAAAGAAACCCTGCAGAACGAGGTCGAGAAAGTCAGAAGGCAGGCTGCAGAAGCTGACGTGCATTCGCAGGAAAGCCCACAAGACTTGGCAAGGCGACTGCAGGAAAGTTCCCACAAGTTGCAAGAGACCCGGGAAGCTTTGCAAGCTGCCCTTGATGAGAAAGAATCCCTGCAGAACGAGGTCGAGACTGTCAGAAGGCAGGCTGCAGAAGCTGCAGGAAAGCCCGGAAGACTTGGCAAGGCGGCTGCAGGAAAGTTCCCACAAGTTGCAAGAGACCCGCGAAGCTTCGCAAGTTGCCCTTGATGAGAAAGAATCCCTGCAGAACGAGGTCGAGACTGTCAGAAGGCAGGCTGCAGAAGCTGAGGCGCATTCGCAGGAAAGCCCACAAGACTTGGCAAGGCGACTGCAGGAAAGTTCCCACAAGTTGCAAGAGACCCGGGAAGCTTTGCAAGCTGCCCTTGATGAGAAAGAATCCCTGCAGAACGAGGTCGAGACTGTCAGAAGGCAGGCTGCAGAAGCGCAGGAAAGCCCGGAAGACTTGGCAAGGCGGCTGCAGGAAAGTTCCCACAAGTTGCAAGAGACTTTGCAGGCTGCTCTGGATGAGAAGGAATCCCTGCAGAAGCAGGTCGAGGCTGTCAGAAGGCAGGCTGCAGAAGCTGAGGTGCATTTGCAGCAAAGCCAGAGAGACTTTGGAAGGCAACTGCAGGAGAGCATGCAGGGGCTTGGACTGTCTTGTAAGGCATGTGAAGATGCAATGCAGGCTAAATCTGTTCCTTTGCCCTGCGTGCCAGTTCTGTCCGACCTTTTTTTGCAAACCGAGCTTACAGGCTTTGTTGCGTGCTTTCTTGCCATGTCATTGCTCCAGCAGAAAGTGGCCTATGCATGTGCTGTTGAGGAAACCGTCTTGCATATAAGTATTCCTCATTGGTACGAGTAACGCGTTTCCTTGTGTACTGCATCTTGCTTTGTCAGCGTGCAGAAGCCAGAGAGATCTCCAAGCTTGAGACCAGCTTTGATTGCAGAGCCAGTTTATGTCAGACCGTAGATCGGTCTTGGGCGATGTCCGATGAGTTTCGTTTCTTAACAGCGCCTTTTTCGATAGCAAGCTTTGTATTTGCATTTACAACTTGAATTGGCATGTTGGCTTTCCGCAGCGAGACGTGGCAGGCAACAGCCGTCAATACTAAAAATAGCAATGCGTGCGCAGTGGCATAGCTCCGCACTGCGAGGTTTGGGCACAGTTCGACGCTGCAGAACATTGTTCTGGGGCAGGTCTGGTAATCCACATTTTAGGAAAATGAAGAGTTTCCCCTGTAAACCACGCCGGTCCCCTCCTCGGTGTGAGTAGGCTATCAGCAGGAGGGGTTGGCGGCCATAAATGGGAGATCCATAAGCAGGCTTGGGCAATGGGCTCTTGGGTTATGGTAAGTGATGAGGGCCCTACCAGAGTTTGTTGGATCCCGCTCCGGTTTGACCTAATTGGCGGAAAGCCGAGGTGAAACCAGGTCCAAACCAGGAGCCATATCTTGGAAAAGCTGCTTCTTTGCCGCTGTGATTGGACAGGTTACCAGTGTACTAATGAGATTCACCGCCTCGTATTCAATTTGCGCACGTGTGAGGAGCAGCAGGACGCGCGCAGCCAAGAGCTAGAAGCTTTGCAGGCCAACCAGCATGGTTTTCATAGTCGGATTGGATTGGTCAAACGCGATGCACGGTACGTTTGAACGTAGTGATGACCATTGTTTGTTCCACTCTGTTCGACCCTCCCCTCAACAATGGATCCTCCCGAAACAGATGAGTTTCCATTTAATCTAGTATTGCTGGAGCTTGCTCTTGAGATTGGGTTGGTGGGACTTGAGGTTTCATTTGATTTAATATGCGGCTGATTTTTGGAGCGGAGGGACCTAGTACCCATTTGATGTTGTATCGCGGGATGTGATTTTGGTTTTTATTGAGTATTGCTCAATTGTGGGATTGGATTTTCCATTTGAGTATAGATTGCTGGCATTGATGTTTCTTTTGAGTTGGTGGTATTGCCAGATTGAAGCTTCCATTTGTCGTATTGCTGGATCGGAGTTTCCGTTTGATTTAGTATTGCTTGATTGGATTCCCATTGATTTGATCCAGTATTGTGAGGTTGTTGTTCTTGTTTGGGGCGGCTGCAACAAATTATTATTTTGCCCCAACAAAGTTATTCTCTCCTCCTCAAGGTACTCCTCCCCTGTGTGAGATGATTGAGCACGGACTTTGGATGAAACTATGCAACGACTTGCTGAGTCTGTGGGTTGTTGTGGTTGCCAAAAGTTGACTCTTGGGCAATTAGCTTGGGCTAGGGCCTACAAGAAGCTTCAACTTCCAGATTTGAGATTTGAATTGTCAGCTTTGTTTTAGCCTCAAACATGATTGTTTTTGGGGCTGCAACAAATTGTCGGGCGGTCCCTGAGAAGGAGCTGCCTTATTCCTTCTCAAGTGCCACACCCCTCGTTGTGGGATTGATTGGGTCTATACTTTTAAATGAAGCTTTGTAAATAAACGTGAGTTTGGGGGCTGATGATTTGTTTGTTTCCCAATTGTGTACTTTTTTGGGGGGAGTTGGGGGTTCATTATGCAGGAGGGCTTTATTGATATATTATATATATATGTATAAGTCACCATTAGTTGTGCCAATGGGCCAACTGTTGTCAATTGGCGGCGGCACGAGGTCCCGTTGCGTGCTTTTGGTCCCTATGTGAGGTTCAGTCAAAATGACGGATTTTGCAACGCACCACACAACCCAGGAGACTCACACATTTTCCCATGTCCTCTTCGGAAACACGTAATTGTGACAATGGTTCATGCGCATGTGTGTGTGTGTGTGTGACACCTGAGGCGCGAGATGCGGATCACGGCCGGAAGTTGCAGGCAATGGTGTGCAGTGATCCACAAATTATCCTCAACACACATAGCATTGTTCGCGGTAGTATTTCGCAAAGGACCAGTCGACTAGCCGTTTGTGCGACTAAGCAAAGTTGTGCCAGAGTTGCAGAGTTGCAAGGCAAAGGATGAACATCTGCTGGAGCTTCAGCGAGCGCAGGCTATGACTGGGTTTGATTTTGGGCACTTCAGTTGTCCAAATTGGGGCCTTGCGTGTTGTTGCAAAGATCCTGTTTGAGCAAGTGTTTGTAGTTTTTAGGCAATTCACTCATGATGTGCGTATTTGGTAATCAAACCAATCAAGCTTGCTTTCAGGCAACCAGACCTCAATGTTCGGTGTCGACATCTTCGCTGCAATGTTGTCATAGCAAGTTTTGAGCAACTAAGGGAAACATATTCTATGTTGCGACACACAAAGGAAGCTAAGTTGTGCCATGGTTGCAGCGGCTTCATGCTGTTGTGGGAACATGATGCATGTTGCAGATGCGCATTGGAGAGGCGCAGCAAGCTGAACATCATCTCGAGCTTGAAGAAGCATTGCAGGCCAGCATGGAACAGCGTGACTTCGTACTGGGGACTCTTGACTAGGCCAACTGGCAGGACACGCGGTAGCATGATCAGAATCACGATCCAAAGTGACATCGCAAACTCATTGTGCATATGTTATCCTTTCTTTTGCTCTGGTCCTCGTGTTGCTGTAAACAAGGGCTTGTCAGACTGACTGCAGCCTATTTGCAACAAGAGAAGGACGAGGATCGTGGAACAAGAAAGGGAGGCAAGCTTTTGCCAGCAAAGGGCAACAGAAGCGCGGACTTCCCAGCGGAACAGTTAGGTCACTCCTTTGATGCCCTGGCGGTGTTGTTGGCGGAAGCAATGTTCCTCTGGTCAGTTGCTACTTCTTTCCAATAGAGGAAAGACAGCTTGTTGGCAGTCACAAACTTTGTTGGATGCATGTGCTGGTTTGCATGACCCTTACCAGTCAATTGCAGGAGCAAGATGAGCACCACACCAACAAGGCGGAGGCAACGGTTGCTACTCCGGAGCAATGTGCAAGCTGACATTTGCAGTGAGCGACATATGATGTGTTCTTCCTTTCTCAACTTGACACTAGAGTCTGAAAATGCCTGCTGAGACAGGTTGGCTTGCACGACAGCACTGTGTACTGAGCGCAATAATTGGCCACACGGTGTTTTTGTTGATGGGCGCAGAGGCCTCAGCTAGTCTGCGATGTGATATTCCTCAGCAAAGGTCAGGACACCAACATGTGGGATCACATCGACAGAATCCATGGACACGGGGGGGGGGGGGAATGCCCAGGTAGTTTCTAGCAAGTGAAAGACACAGCATACAGGGAGATCCCACCCCTTCAATATTCTGGCTTGAACATGAGTGATTGCTGCATCAGGAACAGTCGACATGAGACTTTCCAGAGTAATCGACCTTTTGGGAGTTACGTGCGACAAAATTAATTGCGTATTTGCCTGACTTGAACATGCGGGTCGTTTGCCAAGCTCGCCATGGACGAGTTCCAGCAGTTCCAGACGCGGCAGGAAGGGAAGCTTTGGCGAAGAACGCGAGGCTTTCTGTGCCGCAGCCCGTGGGTTGTGGAGTGGTTCGTGGTGTCACCGGAGTACTTGGTGGCTTTTGCCTCACGTACCAGTGCAGAAGTGAAGCTTTGCATTTGTCTGGCGTCTGTAACCTCAGTGGAAGAGGATGGTAAGGGCATCTTCCGTGTTTGCTATGCCCCGCAGCTGGGAAAGGCAGCTTGCGACAAGGCTCAGCATTTGGTGCTAAAGGCGGCTGAGGAGGAGGACATGCGCCGGTGGATTGCAGCCATCCACGAGGGCCAGGAGCGCCGCCGCCGCGACCGGCACTTTGTGCCGCTCTCCGTGGCCTCTGAGCGTCTCGTGGAGCAGCGCCGCCGGGTGCAGGAGGCGGAGGCGGAGGCGGCGCGGCACCGGGCCGCGGCGGCGGAGGCAGGGCGGGGCGTCGCCTGCCAGCGCCTGGCCGCGGCAGCCGAGGCGCCGCTGCTGGCCGGGCTGCGGCGCTGGGCTCTTGGGGCCCGTGCCTTGGCGCAGGCAGAGGCGGTGCAGGAGGCAGAGGCACGGGCAGAGGCAGCGGGGGCCCAGGCAAAGGCAGCGGAGGTGCGAGAAAATTCAGTGCGGCTGGGGGTCACGCTGGTGGGTGTGGTGCTGCGTGGGGCAACGCAGCGGTGTTTGGGTCATGTCTTGCGCTGTTTGGAGCCTGTTCCAGAGCCATCTGAGCCACTTGAGCCCACGCCCAGCACGCCAAGCATGCCCAGCGCCCTTTCAAGGGCTCTTGCAGCCGGACGTGTGGCGAGGGAGGCCGTGAGATGGCAGTCGCTTGGCAGCGCCATGGCCGTGCTGAGGGCTTTGCTAAAGACGCGAGAGCAGAGAGAGACGAAGATGCAGGCGGTGCAGGCCTCCATCACCACGGAAACAGGGGATGCTGCTGTGCAGGCTGAGGATGTGGTCGACCTGGTCAAAGTGGTCGAAGTGGTAAAAGACACAGAAGTCACATCTGAGAGCACACCCGAGAGCACGCCGCATGCCTCTTCACCGCGGTATGCAGCTTCAAAGGTGCTCGAGGCTTGCCAGGCATCACCTGAATCAATCTTGCAGGAGCTGGGATTGCCCAGTGATACAGAGTCAGAGTCTGAGGAGTTGTTGCCTTGCCAGCCAAAGTCTCCAAAGTGTTCGGAACCAGTCTCAGAGCCAGTGCATCTGCCTGCAAACTTCAATGGGGACGATAGGTGCACGCATGCCGGAGCTTCAGGTTTACCTATCCCAGCACCACGCGCACTTGAATCTTTGCAAGAGCAGGGTGAGCCGCACGAGCGGCAAGAAGGTTGCATCTCAGGTCGCCTCACAGAGGCTGCCAGCTCCGTCCAAGAGGTGCAATCAGGACTCCTCAAGCTCCAAGATCATCTCGAGCAAGCGCTGGTTGCTGAAGCAGAGCGGCAGGAGGATTCGCAGTACGCGCAGCGCTGGATGTTGGAGGTGGCGGCTTGCGATACCGACGCGCTTTTGCGGCCCTCTGCATGTTGCACTGGCAGCAGTTATGATCCTTGGGAGCGGGAGTCGAGCAGCGACGTGGGTTTCGCCTCCGCCTCCGACAGCGATTTGTCCCCGCATCGGGAGGCCACGATTTCCAGTCGTCTCCAGGGAGGCACCGGCGGCGATGTGAAGCTGCAGCTTCCACTCAGGCGGGACCCATGGAAACGGCCGCCTCCTCCTCGTTGTTTGCCAGTGGGGACCCCTTCCCAGCGCGCGCGCTCTAGCTCCGCCTCTGACACGGAGGCCAGCGTGACACGAGGCAAATCAAGCCAGTCACCACTTGCACCACTTCCATCCTGTGACTTTTTGCCGCAGGAAGTCCTGCGCGCGTGGCGCAGTGGAAGTTTCGAGGTTTCACCGACAACGCCAACGACTCCTAACACGAGCTTCGCAAAAAGGGCATGCCATGGGCCATGTGTTTGGGTGCTTTGCTTCCTTTGAGCCGGAGAAGTCAGCATCGTGCAAAAGACGCTCGTTCCAGGCTCAGCTGGCTGAGCACCGCCTCGAGCTTGAACGGATTCTGCAGGCCGAGACCCCTGACAGTCACTGGACACTGGTCATAAGCATTGGTCCCAGCATTGGCTGAATGTACACTTGCTGTATGTGGGATAATGTTGGTTCTGTGTCGGCCTATCCGTCATTTGAGTGAAAGGGCATGGGAACATAGGGCAAAACTTACACCAAGTTGTGCCCCAAAGCCCCATGTCGTTGGGGGCAAATCAGAATTAGTTGTGCTAGTTCAACTTGTTATGCAGGAGCTTAGTGGTAGATTGAAGCGTGACTCAAATTGCAACTCTGATCCTGACCCGTCATGTTGTCCTTGTTGTTGCACTTGAAGCTGGTGCAACTAGCATTACGTGAATCGCATGCTTGGGGTTTGTAAAGCTGGGAAGCAGCTACACATTCAGGGCAAGGCACTTGCCAAGTGACAACTTCTGTGATTGAACCTCTGATTGGCGTTGTGCAGCAAGCTGAACACCGCCATGGCTGCAGGCCCGTACAAAATCCTAGTTTCCTGAAGGGCCCGGCAAGTCGATAGCGTGATTGGAACAAAGCATTGCTGTGACGGCTACAAATGTGCTTCGCTGCATAGCGGGATGCAGAGAGGTGGTCATGTGTCAAACAGGGGGCAAGAGATGCATCAGCAACAAACCATCACGCTCGAGGCAAGCATCGCAGAGGTGACAGTGATTTATAGTGTTTGTAGAGTGTTTGTAGAGGGATACATACATACTGATTGTTGTGCACAGTGTAAGTGACGTTTCACTCAAGGGATGTTGTGCACAGCACATGTGACAGGCAAAGGACGCGGAACACAGCGAAAACTTGCAGGCGGGGGCTTGGGCACATGCTCCATTGAGCGCGGGCAAGGAGTTTGAAAGTTGTGGAAGACATTGAGGGCAAGGTTCCGAGTGCCTCCCCTGGCAAGGTGGAAGCTGCACACCGTTTGGAACTCGAGCAAGCGCTGCAGGCGCTTGCAAAATCCAAGAACCTTGAGGGGCAAAGCAACTGCCACAGTCATTGACTGATCCAAACATCACCTAGCTGCGAGGAAGGTGGTCATTGTGTGAAACAATCCTGGGCAGGAACATCACCAGCAGCAGAGCAGCAAGCTCGAGGCGAGCATTACAGAGGTTGCGTGGACTTGCCAATGTTTGGGATTGCTTGTACACCAGGTTTACATACCCTTTCAGGAAATGACCCCGGCAAAGGCGTGCACTTTTGATCCCACTGGCCCAACAGAGATTGTATGCCAACAGGCCAAGGATGCGGAACACTCCGAGAAGTTGCAGGCAGGGACTGGGCGTTGCATGCTTCACGATGACGTGATATGCGCTATGAGCTCTTGGATGCATTTTTTTCGGACGTTTAAGCTTGAGTGGATATTGAGGGAACAGTACTTGACCCTTCCTGCGATTCAAGCTGATTGGCAAGGTGCAGCAAGCTGAACACCGCCTGGTACTCGAGCAAGCACTGCAGGCGCTTACAAAGTGCGAGAATCCCTGAAGTGCACTAGCAATGAACATCGCCTGGGTGTTGCCTACCATGGCTGGCTGCATAGCAGGATGCAAGAAGGCAGTCGTTTGAATGGTGCGTGGCCAACAGTCCTGGTCAGGAGCATCATGATCAGCAGACCAACAAGCTCGAGGCAAGCATTGCCAAGATTGCAGCCGCTGTTTTGCCAATGTTTGGGACAGTTTGTACACGTTGATTTTTTTTTTTTTCCCCACTGTTCCCGAAAGAGGTTTGCACGCTAGATACTGAGCAGGTCGATGACCGTCTAACCGATGGTGTGTGACAAAGGGGCTTGCACTGCCATTCTGAAACACGGAGGACCATTAATTAGTCGTTTTGCGTGTCGACCTTCCTACTGCCATGCCCGACAGATACCAAAAGCAGAGATATTTGCTTGGTTTGTGTTTTTCAGCTCAACAGATGGCATGGCTTCGGCTGGAGGGTGCTCGGTCTTTATGCAAACAGGCCAAGGATGCGGAACACTCCGAGAAGTTGCAGGCAGGGACTGGGCGTTGCATGCTTCACGATGACGTGATATGCGTTATGAGCTCTTGGATGCATTCGTTCGCACGTTTAAACTTCAGTGGATATTGAGGGAACAGTACTTGACCCTTCCTACGATTCAAGCTGATTGGCAAGGTGCAGCAAGCTGAACACCGCCTGGTACTCGAGCAAGCACTGCAGGCGCTTACAAAGTGCGAGAATCCCTGAAGTGCGCTAGCAATGAATATCGCCTGGGTGTTGCCTACCATGGCTGGCTGCATAGCAGGATGCAAGAAGGCAGTCGTTTGAATGGTGCGTGGCCAACAGTCCTGGTCAGGAGCATCATGATCAGCAGACCAACAAGCTCGAGGCAAGCATTGCCAAGATTGCAGCCGCTGTTTTGCCAATGTTTGGGACAGTTTGTACACCACGATCATTTACTTACCCTTTGGGCAGATGGCCCTGCAAAAGGATTGTTTTTTTGCCACTGTTCCCGAAAGAGGTTTGCACTAGATGCTGAGCAGGTCGATGACCGTCTAACCGATGGTGTGTGACAAAGGGGCTTGCACTGCCATTCTGAAGCACGGAGGACCATTAATTAGCCGTTTTGCGTGTCGACCTTCGTATCTGCCATGCCCGACAGATACGAAAAGCAGAGATATTTGCTTGGTTTGTGTTTTTCAGCTCAACAGATGGCATGGCTTCGGCTGGAGGGTGCTCGGTCTTTATGCAAACAGGCCAAGGATGCGGAACACTCCGAGAAGTTTCAGGCAGGGGCTGGGCGTTGCATGCTTCATGATGACGTGATATGCGTTATGAGCTCGGGGATGCATTTTTTCGGACGTTTAAGCTTGAGTGGATATTGAGGGAACAGTACTTGACCCTTCCTGCGATTCAAGCTGATTGGCAAGGTGCAGCAAGCTGAACACCGCCTGGTACTCGAGCAAGCTCTGCAGGCGCTTACAAAGTGCGAGAATCCCTGAAGTGCACTAGCAATGAACATCGCCTGGGTGTTGCCTACCATGGCTGGCTGCATAGCAGGATGCAAGAAGGCAGTCGTTTGAATGGTGCGTGGCCAACAGTCCTGGTCAGGAGCATCATGATCAGCAGACCAACAAGCTCGAGGCAAGCATTGCCAAGATTGCAGCCGCTGTTTTGCCAATGTTTGGGACAGTTTGTACACCACGATCATTTACTTACCCTTTGGGCAGATGGCCCTGCAAAAGGATTGTTTTTTTGCCACTGTTCCCGAAAGAGGTTTGCACTAGATGCTGAGCAGGTCGATGACCGTCTAACCGATGGTGTGTGACAAAGGGGCTTGCACTGCCATTCTGAAACACGGAGGACCATTAATTAGCCGTTTTGCGTGTCGACCTTCCTACTGCCATGCCCGACAGATACGAAAAGCAGAGATATTTGCTTGGTTTGTGTTTTTCAGCTCAACAGATGGCATGGCTTCGGCTGGAGGGTGCTCGGTCTTTATGCAAACAGGCCAAGGATGCGGAACACTCCGAGAAGTTGCAGGCAGGGACTGGGCGTTGCATGCTTCATGATGACGTGATCTGCGTTATGAGCTCTTGGATGCATTTTTTCGGACGTTTAAGCTTGAGTGGATATTGAGGGAACAGTACTTGACCCTTCCTACGATTCAAGCTGATTGGCAAGGTGCAGCAAGCTGAACACCGCCTGGTACTCGAGCAAGCACTGCAGGCGCTTACAAAGTGCGAGAATCCCTGAAGTGCGCTAGCAATGAATATCGCCTGGGTGTTGCCTACCATGGCTGGCTGCATAGCAGGATGCAAGAAGGCAGTCATTTGAATGGTGCGTGGCCAACAGTCCTGGTCAGGAGCATCATGATCAGCAGACCAACAAGCTCGAGGCAAGCATTGCCAAGATTGCAGCCGCTGTTTTGCCAATGTTTGGGACAGTTTGTACACGTTGATTTACGTTTTTTTTTCTCCCACTGTTCCCGAAAGAGGTTTGCACTAGATACTGAGCAGGTCGATGACCGTCAAACCGATGGTGTGTGACAAAGGGGCTTGCACTGACATTCTGAAACACGGAGGACCATTAATTAGCCGTTTTGCGTGTCGACCTTCCTACTGCCATGCCCGACAGATACGAAAAGCAGAGATATTTGCTTGGTTTGTGTTTTTTAGCTCAACAGATGGCATGGCTTCGGCTGGAGGGTGCTCGGCCTGTATGCAAACAGGCCAAGGATGCGGAACACTCCGAGAAGTTTCAGGCAGGGGCTGGGCGTTGCATGCTTCATGATGACGTGATGTGCGTTGTGTGCTTTTGGATGTAGTTGTTCGGATGCGTAAGCTTCGATGGATATTGAGGAAACAGTACTAGGCCCTTCCTGCGGTTTACTGTAATCTGATTGGCAAGGCGCAGCAAGCTGAACACCGCCTGGTACTCGAGCAAGCACTGCAGGCGCTTACAAAGTGCGAGAATCCCTGAAGTGCCGTAGCAATGAACGTCGCCTGGGTGTTGCCTACCATGGCTGGCTGCATAGCAGGATGCAAGAAGGCAGTCGTTTGAATGGTGCGTGGCCAACAGTCCTGGGCAGGAGCATCATCAGCAGCAGACCAACAAGCTCGAGGCAAGCATTGCCAAGATTGCAGCCGCTGTTTTGCCAATGTTGGGATACTCTGTAGACCGCGTTTATTTACTTGCCCCGTGGGCACATGACCCCTCAAAAGGATTGTTTTGTTTTCTTCCTTTTTTGTGTGATTATTATTGTTATATATGTACGTTTTGTCCCCCTGTTCCCGAAAGAGGTTTGCTCTAGTTACGCAGCGGGTTGGTGACAGTCAAGCCGATGGTGTGTGACGAAGGGGTTGGCACTGCCACTCTTACACACGGCGAATTGTTCGTTGGCTTTTTTCCGTGTGGGCCTTCTCACTGCCAAGCCTGACAAAAAGGAAAAGCCAATATATTTTACTGGTTTGTGATTTTTCACTCAACAGATGGCATGACTTCGGCTGGAGGGTGCTCGGCCTGTATGCCAACAGGCCAAGGATGCGGAACACTCTGAGAAGTTGCAGGCAGGGACTGGGCGTTGCATGCTTCACGATGACGTGATATGTGTTATGAGCTCTTGGATGCATTTGTTCGGACGTTTAAGCTTGAGTGGATATTGAGGAAACAGTACTTGACCCTTCCTGCGATTCAAGCTGATTGGCAAGGTGCAGCAAGCTGAACACCGCCTGGTACTCGAGCAAGCACTGCAGGCGATCACAAAGTGCGGAAATCGCTGAAGCGCACCAGCAATGAACATCTCATGGTTGTGTTGCCTACCATGGCTGGCTGCATAGCAGGATGCAAGAAGGCAGTCGTTTGAATGGTGCGTGGCCAACAGTCTGGGCAGGAGCATCATCAGCAGCAGACCAACAAGCTCGAGGCAAGCGTTGCCAAGATTGCAGCTGCTTTTTGGCCAATGTTGGGACACTTTGTACGCCGCAGTTATTTACCCCTTGGGCAGATGAATCCGCATTTGTTTTTTTAAAGAGTATTTGTTTATCCCGCTGTTCCCGAAAGAGGTTTGCACTAGATGCGCAGCGGGGCTTTGCACTGCCACTCTGAAATACGCAGGACTATTTATTGGAAGTTTTGTGTGTGCTTCTCGCTGCCAAGCCTGACAGAAAGGAAGAGCCAAGATATTTGACTGGTTTGTGATTTTTCACTCAACTGTTGGCATGGCTTGGGCTGGAGGGTGCTCTGAATGTATGCCAACAGGCCAAGGATGCGGAACACTCTGAGAAGTTGCAGGCAGGGACTGGGCGTTGCATGCTTCACGATGACGTGATATGCGTTATGAGCTCTTGGATGCATTTTTTCGGACGTTTAAGCTTGAGTGGATATTGAGGAAACAGTACTTGACCCTTCCTGCGATTCAAGCTGATTGGCAAGGTGCAGCAAGCTGAACACCGCCTGGTACTCGAGCAAGCACTGCAGGCGATCACAAAGTGCGGAAATCGCTGAAGCGCACCAGCAATGAACATCTCATGGTTGTGTTGCCTACCATGGCTGGCTGCATAGCAGGATGCAAGAAGGCAGTCGTTTGAATGGTGCGTGGCCAACAGTCCTGGGCAGGAGCATCATCAGCAGCAGACCAACAAGCTCGAGGCAAGCGTTGCCAAGACTGCAGCTGCTTCTTGGCCAATGTTGGGACACTTTGTACACCGCAGTTATTTACCCCTTGGGCAGATGAATCCGCATTTGTTTTTTTTAAAGAATATTTGTTTATCCCGCTGTTCCCGAAAGAGGTTTGCACTAGATGCGCAGCGGGGCTTTGCACTGCCACTGAAATACGCAGGACCATTGATTGGAAGTTTTGTGTGTGCTTCTCGCTGCCAAGCCTGACAGAAAGGAAGAGCCAAGATATTTGACTGGTTTGTGATTTTTCACTCAACTGTTGGCATAGCTTGGGCTAGAGGGTGCTCTGAATGTATGCCAGCAGGCCAAGGATGCCGAGCACTGCGAAAAGTTGCAGGCAGGCACTGGGCGTTGCATGCTTCATGATGGCATTATCTGCATTATGAGCTCTTGGATGTCGTGGTCCGGATTTGCAAGCTTGAATGGATATTGAGGGAACAATTCTTGACCCTTCCTGCGATTGAAGCTCTGATTGGCAAGGTACAGCAAGCTGAACACCGCCTGGTACTCGAGCAAGCACTGCAGGCGATCACAAAGCGCGGAAATCGCTGAAGCGCACCAGCAATGAACATCGCCTGGTTGTGTTGCCTACCATGGCTGGCTGCATAGCAGGATGCAAGAAGGCAGTCGTTTGAATGGTGCGTGGCCAACAGTCCTGGGCAGGAGCATCATCAGCAGCAGACCACCAAGCTCGAGGCAAGCATTGCCAAGATCGCTGAAACGGTTTTGCCAACGTGTGGGAATGTTCTTTACACCACGTTTACCTACTCTACCCCCTTCCCAAATTCCCCGCAAAACGCGTGCTGTTTTTCGTCCTGCTGTTTCTGAATGAGGTTGCACTAGATACGCAGCGGGTGAGTGACCCTGAATCCGACGTTGCACTGCCACTCTTAAACACGGAGGACCATTCATTGGCCATGTTCAATGTCGGCCTTTTCACTGTCATGGCTGACAGAAAGGAAAAGCCGAGAAAATTGGTTGGTTGTGATTCTTCACTCAACAGATGGCATGGCTCTCTTGGCTTGTATGCTAGCAGGCGAAGCATGCGGATCACACCGAGAAGTTGCAGGCAGGGCTTGGGTGGTGCATGCTGTGTGCTGTTCTTTTTTGTTGTTGTGAGCTTTTGGATTTAGTGCCCCGGCGTTGTAAGTCTTGATGGATAGTTAGGGAACAGTCTTGCACATATTTGTGATTTAAGCTTTGATTTGGCAAGGTTCTGCAAGCTGAACACCGCCTGGAACTTGAGGAAGCGCTGCAGGCGCTTACGAAGTCCAATAACTTTGACATGCGCAACAGCACTGCCGCAGTCATAGACTGGACGTCGGAACATTGCCTCGCTCTGATGTCTATTGCATAGCAGTATGTAGGAAGGTTTGAATGCTGCGCGGCAAACAGTCCTGGGCAGGAGCATCATCAGCAGCAGACCAACAAGCTCGAGGCAAGCATTGCCAAGATTGCAGGCTGTGTTTGTGTGGACAGCCGCAACGGCCTTGAATTTGGCTTACTGCACTGCGTGAAGCACGATTCTGTGTGGCGAACAGTCCTCGGCAGGAGCATCATCAGCAGCAGACTAGAATGCTCGAGGCAAGCATTGCGGAGATTGCTGTTATTTGCCTCGCATAGAGATGTTTGGACATTGCTTTTACATATGTCTCTCCGCCAACCTGGTTCGGAAGGTTGCTGCTGTTTCCAATTACCTTGTCCCTTGAAAAGGTTTACACTTCTTATCAAGTAGGATTGTAACGATGGCATACGCAAGAGAGAAAGTTTTTGGCAAATGGGCAACCAAGGCTTATGAGCCAGGGTCATGCACTATCACTGATAGAAAATGAGCTCCCGTTGAATGAAAGTAGAAGCAGTATTGTCTTGCTGCGAGAGATTCGGAGGGCCATCCAAAATCGCCAATTGTTGCGCTCTCGTTGTGTTTACTGGTAGGCCTGACAGAAGGCTACATGACCAATCGCATGTGCTGCGAGTGTGTTCGTGTTTGATGTTTTGCCCAAGAGATTGCACAGCCTGATAGGCGAGGGACGCGGAACACTGCGAGAAGTTGCAGGCAAGGGCTTGGCGCATTTGACATGACAGTGTTTAGCTGCCGCGCATCGGTGTGAGCCCGGGGTTTGCAAACTTGGATAGAAGCACTTGCCAAGTGAGCGCTGTGATTCGAACTCTGTCGTAAGGTGCGGAAAGCTGAACATCAACTGGAACTTGAGCATCTTGCACAAGCGCTGCAGGCGCTTGCAAAGTCCAATAAGCTTGACGTGCACAACAGCACTGCAGTCATAGACTGAACGTCGCAACTTTGCCTCGCTCTGATGTCTACCGCATGGCAGGATACTGGAAGGTTTGCATGCTGCGTGGCAAACTAGTCCTGGGCAGGAGCATCATCAGCAGCAGACCAGCAAGCTCGAGTTTCATGCCCTTCTCCCCAAAAGACGGTTCCACCTGTTGTTAGGTGGTTTGGTAGCCAGAAAAGTGAACGGAATGAACCGGGGAATGTGCTTCTGCACCAAGAAAAGACAAAGCGATGGCGAAAGAATGGAAGTAGGCCGTAGCTTCTTGATGTCAAAGGATTCGGAGGACTATCCATGTCTGCTGTGAGAAAGCGTTGGCTTTTCTCACAGCCAAGCCTGACACAAGAGGACGGTGCATTTGGTTGCATTGTTTGTGATGTTTCACCCAAGAGCTGGTATGGCTTAGGAGCGTGCCCAGCCTGCATGCTGACAGGCGAAAGATGCGGAACACAGCGAGAAGTTGCAGGCCTGGGCTTGGCTTGGCATGCGAAATGACAGGGTGATGAATAGCGCCGCTTTTATGAAGCTATTGCCTGCCCTGGCTTTGCAAGGTTTTACCCAGTTGGGGCAAGGCGCTTGTTAAGTGACAACTTTTTTGATTTGCCGAGGTGCAGAACGCTGAACATCGTATGGAACTCGAGCAAGCCCTGCAGGCGCTTACAAACCCAACAGTGTTGAAGAAGCATTGCCTCAGTCATAGACCGAACATCGGAACATCGTCTGGCTAGGCTTTGATGGGTGCACATTCAGCATGCTATTTGTCTCCACAGCAGGATGTAGAAAGTCGGTCGTTGGAATGCCATGCGGCAAAGAGTCATTGGCAGGAGAAGCATCAGCAGCAGACCGGCCAGCTCGAGGCAAGCGCTGCAGAGGTTGCAGTGATTTGCCAATGCCCAAATATGTTGTTTGCTCATACTGTCAACAGGTTGTTTGCGGCCTGCTTTAGCATACACCTAACAATCACCCCCAAAGGGTGTGCTGTTGTTTCCCTGTTTCATGCCCCTCTCCCCAAAAGCGTTTCCACCTGGTGTTAGATGGTTTGGTAGCCAGAAAAGTGAATGGAATGAACTGCTTCTGTACCAAGAAAAGACAAAGCGATGGCCAAAGAATGGAAGTAGGCCGTAGCTTCTTGATGTCAAGGATTCGGAGAACTATCCATGTCTGCTGTGAGAAAGCGTTGGCTTTTCTCACAGCCAAGCCTGACACAAGAGGACGGCGCATTTGGTTGCATTGTTTGTGATGTTTCACCCAAGAGCTGGTATGGCTTAGGAGCGTGCCCAGCCTGCATGCTGACAGGCGAAAGATGCGGAACACAGCGAGAAGTTGCAGGCCGGGGCTTGGCTTGGCATGCAAAATGACAGGGTTATGAAAGGTGCCGCTTGCATGATGCTATTGCGTGCCTCTGCGTCTTTCTGCGTCTCTCTGCGTCTCTCTTCGTCTCCCTGCGTCTCTCTGTCTCTGCGTCTCTCTGCGTCTCTCTGCGTCTCTCTGTGTCTCTGTGGGTCTCTCTGCGTCTCTCTGCGTCTCTCTGCGTCTCTCTGTGTCTCTGTGGGTCTCTCTGCGTCTCTCTGCGTGTCTCTGCGTCTCTCTGCGTCTCTCTGCGTCTCTCTGTGTCTCTGTGGGCTTGTGTGTGTGTCTCTGTGTGTCTCTGTGTGTGTCTCTCTGTGTCTCTGTGTGTCTCTCTGTGTCTCTGTGGGTCTCTGTGTGTCTCTGTGTGTCTCTGTGTGTCTCTGTGTGTCTCTGTGCATCTCTGCGTCTCTTTGCGTCTCTCTGCGTCTCTCTGCGTCTCTCTGCGTCTCTCTGCGTCTTCGGGCTTGGTACGGTTTTCCCCAGTTGGGGCAAGGCGCTTGTTAAGTGACAACTTGCTTGATTTGCCGAGGTGCAGCACGCTGAACATCGTCTGGAACTCGAGCAAGCCCTGCAGGCGCTTACAAACCCAACAGTGTTGAAGAAGCATTGCCTCAGTCATAGACCGAACATCGGAACATCGTCTAGCTAGGCTTTGATGTGTACACATTCAGCATGCGATTTGTCTCCACAGCAGGATGTAGAAAGTCGGTTGTTGGAATGCCGTGCGTCAAAGAGTCATTGGCAGGAGAAGCATCAGCAGCAGACCGGCCAGCTCGAGGCACTTGGGCATTGGAAAATCACTGCAACTCTATATTGTTTCTCATAATGTCAACAGGTTGTTTGCGGCCTGCTTTTGCAGACACCTTTGCACAATCACTTCCAACAAATGTGTTGTTGTTTCCCTATTTCATGCCCCTGCCCCAAAAACCTGTTGTTAGGTGGTGTGGTAGCCAGAAAAGTGAACGGAATGAACAGGGGAATGCACTGCTGTACCAAGAATAGAAATCGCAATGGCGAAAGAATGGAAGTAGGCCGTAGCTTCTTGATGTCAAAGGATTCGGAGGACTATCCATGTCTGCTGTGAGAAAGCGTTGGTTTTTCTCACAGCCAAGCCTGACACAAGAGAACGGTGCATTTGGTTGCATTGTTTTTGATGTTTCACCCAAGAGCTGGTATGGCTTAGGAGCGTGCCCAGCCTGCATGCTGACAGGCGAAAGATGCGGAACACAGCGAGAAGTTGCAGGCAGGGGCTTGGCTTGGCATGCGAAATGACAGGGTGATGAATAGCGCCGCTTTTATGAAGCTATTGCCTGCCCGGGCTTTGCAAGGTTTTACCCAGTTGGGGCAAGGCGCTTGTTAAATGTTATGTTTTGTGATTTGCCGAGGTGCAGCACGCTGAACATCGTCTGGAACTCGAGCAAGCCCTGCAGGCGCTTACAAACCCAACAGTGTTGAAGAAGCATTGCCTCAGTCATAGACCGAACATCGGAACATCGTCTAGCTAGGCTTTGATGTGTACACATTCAGCATGCGATTTGTCTCCACAGCAGGATGTAGAAAGTCGGTTGTTGGAATGCCGTGCGGCAAAGAGTCATTGGCAGGAGAAGCATCAGCAGCAGACCGGCCAGCTCGAGGCACTTGGGCATTGGAAAATCACTGCAACTCTATATTGTTTCTCATAATGTCAACAGGTTGTTTGCGGCCTGCTTTTGCAGACACCTTTGCACAATCACTTCCAACAAATGTGCTGTTGTTTCCCTAGTTCATGCCCCTGCCCCAAAAACCTGTTGTTAGGTGGTGTGGTAGCCAGAAAAGTGAACGGAATGAACAGGGGAATGCACTGCTGTACCAAGAATAGAAATCGCAATGGCGAAAGAATGGAAGTAGGCCGTAGCTTCTTGATGTCAAAGGATTCGGAGGACTATCCATGTCTGCTGTGAGAAAGCGTTGGCTTTTCTCACAGCCAAGCCTGACACAAGAGGACGGTGCATTTGGTTGCATTGTTTTTGATGTTTCACCCAAGAGCTGGTATGGCTTAGGAGCGTGCCCAGCCTGCATGCTGACAGGCGAAAGATGCGGAACACAGCGAGAAGTTGCAGGCAGGGGCTTGGCTTGGCATGCGAAATGACAGGGTGATGAATAGCGCCGCTTTTATGAAGCTATTGCCTGCCCGGGCTTTGCAAGGTTTTACCCAGTTGGGGCAAGGCGCTTGTTAAATGTTATGTTTTGTGATTTGGCGAGGCGCAGCACGCTGAACATCGTCTGGAACTTGAGCAAGCCCTGCAGGCGCTTCACAGCAGCCTTGCCCAGTCATAGACCGAACATCGGAACATCTCTTAGCTGTAACTTGCACAAGTTTTTTTCTCTGCATTTCGCAGCTAACAAGATACAGCACCAAGCTAGGCTGGGATGTTTGGACATTGCCTGGTTTTTTTTTGCACACCCCTGTCATACTGCTGTACATACCCTTGTCAACAAACCAGCTGTGGTTATACCCACTCTGGAAACCAGGGGGATGAACAACGGGTGTGTACCGCCACTTGTGGAATATCAGCTAGTCCCAGTGAGTTGTTGTGAAACAAGGCAGACGGCCATCATTGGGGACCATTTCATTTGTTGAGTGCTTTGTTTGTTTGTGTAGTGTTACACCCAAAAGATGCCAGGGCTCTGACACTCGTACACTCATTACACTCGGATAGGCAAGGGACGCGGAGCATTCCGAGGTTCGTAGGCTGTGGACACTTGCTTATAAGTTTCAGCAGGGAACACTTATACACGAGAAGCACCAGAGATGACCGGAAGGTCTTTCGCGTCACCAAACAAGCCCTGGGCAAGAGAAACAGCAGACCAGCAAGCTAGAATCGAGATGGCTGCATTTCAAAGTCTCAGGGTGCTACGCCCGTTTTACCAACCCTTTGCGGAAACGACTGTGAAAGTTCTGATGTGCGAGCACGGATAATGCTGTGATTTGCGGGTTGCCTTTAAAATTGAAGAACCTCACAGTTCAGAATATGTTTTTCTTGGTTTTCCTTTATGCACGTCGAAGTCCCTACCGAGTCCAAACGACGCCAAACATGTTTTTGTGGTACGATTTGGATTGCTTTGATGTCGTCCACGAGGCAAACGTATCGTCATTGCCTTGAATATGTTGAAATATGTTTTGCATGCAAGATGTTTCAGACACAGGCTGGCTGGGCCACACATGCTCAATAATGTAGGTGTTGTGGATGGCCAAGCTTGGTGTCATTGAAAGAACTTATTTAACAGAACAGTTTTCCAACATTGTCCTTAAAAAAGGAACTCAACACGAATTGTTGGGAAAAGCGCTTATTTAGCCCAAAAACGCGAACATTGTTGCTTGCCATCAATTCCATGATCAATCCAAGCTTACGAACTCTAGACCTTTTTAACCTGTGGACAGTCATCAGAACCACCATGTTGAGTGCCATTCCTCACCAGCTGTTCAAGAGAGACACGTAGCAGGCCTCGTGCCCAGTCCGCAACTTGTTCCAGCGAGACAGGCAAGTTCTAAAAAAGTGTTTTGCCTTTCCGCAGATGTCCGCGTATTTTCCGCCGATTTCCGCGTATTTCCCGCCGATGTCCGTATGTTCCGCGGATTTCCGCGTGTGCTTGGGTGGCCAAATTTGCGGGATTGATTGCAACAGTTTGGGGCAATTTCCTAGATGAACCTTACCTTGTTTGGGGTATTGGCGCATTCCTGCACTATGTCATGAAAGCCTACATGTCCCACTCCTATTTTGGAAGGTGTCCGCGTGAAAGCATTCGAGAAACGCCTGTCGATGTATAAGATCAGGCCAAATCAGCAGAAATGGCTTCGAAACCTTCAATTGGCAGTTCCCGCCTAGATTTCGGAAATTCCGCTCATTTGGCGAAATAATAAAAAACGTAACGAACAAAAACATGTTCCTTTTTGAGTGAGCTACGTACATGTTGCAGTTGCTGCTTGAAAGCTGCGACCATGTTCTCGGTGCAGGCACATGCCCTAGAGAAGAGCGAGACCATTCAGGCATTTCCGCTGCCGCCGGTGGATGCACATGGTCCAAAAATCGGGGCACTTGTTTTCCAGGATGATAAATTTCAATCAATTTGAGTCTTCCCAAATGCTTGGAGAGCGTCGCACACCAATTGTTTGGGGATTCATTGCAGTCATCAAGCCTCGAATGTAGAATATAGTGTAATATATCCCTGGGGTTCGGGGGCCTTAACAAGAAAGGCCTTTAGGAAGCGGCCGTGAAATGTAGGGAACGTCCTTTGTTTGCAAGCTGGACGCTTTTAATTGGGTTGAGCGTTTTGTGTTGGCCGCATTAGTGGCCATGCAGTGCTTGTGGCTGAAAAGTACGCTTTCCAAAGCCTCGCGAAAGCCATGTAGACATGTTGAAGCTGGTCAATGCTCAAGGTCTTCAACTTTGTGGGATTTCTAAAGACTCTGATCATGGGCTTAGCAATGGAAAAGCGTGAAAATACTGTGAAATTGGCTTGAACGCCTTTTTTTGCAGTGAAAGACCGTGAAACGCCGTGAAATTTGGCAGGGCGAAAAACCACTCACATTCGTCCTGGCTGGCGTTGTTTTCTGCTGGCTTTGAAAAGGTCTTGCTGAATCGATGTTTCGGGAAGACCAGGTTGTTCCATTGATGATGCAGAAATGTGCTGCTTTAACGTTGAGGCCTTCGCAAGTCTAGCTTGGTGTGGAAAAGACTTGTCGCTGACGATGTAAAGTTGGAATTCCACCCAGGCCCCCATCCCCCAGCTAGGCAAACAAAGGATGTTCATGTAACGGCCTTTGTTTTAAAGCCTTTTACCCCCCAGGGATATGATTGAGAGATGTCTATTGGCAGAGTCATGGCCAGTCCGTAGCTACTTCCGAGTCAAGTAAAGATCGCAAAGACGGGAAGCATGGAAGCAAAGCCGGCTGAAGAGAAGGCACCGGAGGCTGCAGAATCAACAGAACCTGAGTCGACGCATTTGTATCACGTTTCCCAGGTAGATGGGAAGGAGATCAGATTGAGTCTTCCCACAGATGCAAGCGTGCAAGACTTGTACAGGGCAGTGGCAGCAGAGGTGGGCTTGCCACTTTACCATTTGAAGCTCATCATCAGCGGCCATTCTAAACCCTTGCCTTCAGCTGATGAGAGCCTGGCCAGCTTCTTTCAAGAGGCCGAGAAGGCCAGAGACCTTTTGCTGGTTGTGTCGAAGGGCTACCAGTTAGGCAGCGCAAAGGTGGACGGGTTGGAGGAGACCTTTTTCCAGCACCACGCGGTGTCCGCCTTCGGCCTGAGCCCGGGTCCAGGTGGTCTGGAGGAGTGCCAGGGAAGAAAATTCACAGTGCGGGCTTTGTCTGACACCGGCCACGGTGCCCCGGACATAGAAGTGCTCATGCCGCCCTACATGGTTTTCAAAGGCGTTCTCTTCGACCAGTGCGCCTTTACGGAGAGAGAAGCTGAACCTTTGTCTGGCAGGGTGCTGCTTCGAGCTGTGATGCATCAGCGGTCGAGGTCCAATGCGCTTGGCATCGGAGTTGGCACTCGGGCGCTCTCGGTGACCCAGGATCCAGAGTATGAGGACAAGTTCTTTGGGCTGTACCATGGCGGCAGCAGCATCAACTGCTGCGCGAACGCTACCAGGTATCACTTCGGAGACGGAGACTGGGAGAGCGGCGAGATGCTGGCCATTTTGGTGGACGTGGAGACCCACACCATGCAGTGCTTCCAGGGCACCTGTCCCTTTGGCCCTGTGACAAGCCTACCTGACGAGCCTCTGTGGCCGGTCATTGTGCTGCAGGGGGAAGGTGACTCTGTGAGCCTCTCTGTGGCCTCGGTTTGAATACAAGATCCGAGCACAGTGTTGATCACACGAAGCACGAATGTGCTTGAAATATTTTGGGATGCCGAGATAAGTTTGACATTGTTGGGGCCCAAGCAGACAAAAAAGAGATGAGCTACATGAGCACAAGAGTGCCACATAAGCTTGCAGAAGGGGTGTGGCTGATTTATTCTTGCTCCATGCTTGTTGTGGCGGGATTCGGTATACCACAAGTCAATCAAAGTCAGAATCCTGTAATGAGAGGTATCTTGATGAGCAGTACGCGCAACAATCAATATGCGCGTTTGTTTCGCTTGTTTCCAATAAGCTTCAAAATTGATGCTTAGAACACACAAATTATCAAAAGGAAAATCACAATCCCCTTTCCGGGGCCAAAATGTATTCAACACGGCAACTCTTGTGTAGGGGCTTCATGTAGGAGCAATCGAGACGTCTTCGTGGTCCATGGTGTTGCAGCGGTAGTACGCTTTGTTTGGATGTGTAGTGACCCAGGAATGTTTACACATTGCGCAATATATGTATGTATGTATATATATATATATGTATATATTGATTAGCATGTTTTTTTTTGTTTGCTTTTTCGAACAATGCAAAAGGCTTTCTGTAGGTTCTATCGCTTTGCTTTTCAGTTCAGGACTTGGGAACCTTTTTGTTCTCCCTTTCAAGTGGATTCCTTGCCATCCGACATTATAGCTCACAGAGATAGCAGCCTTTGGCCACATTGAGCTAACGAGAGTTCGTGTGGGGCTGTTCGATTTAACGTATCCCCTGTTTTCTGGGTCGAGGGTCTGCAAAGGCCGCTTCATCGGGGGATTCGGAGGACGGGCTTCACGGTACCACAATGTGACCACTTTTTCGCTTGGTTCCCCTGAACTTGTTCGTTCCCTTGGTGTTTTCTTGGTCAGAGGGGGGAATTTTATTTGCAACATGCTGACAGTCCGCTCATGTCCGCTCATCCTTATTCCTGGAATATGTTTCATCCACACATGGCAGCCATTTGTGCATTATGGCCCTTTGGCATTTTGGACGTTTTGGTGTGTGAGAGTTAATGACTATAACTTGCTGGGACAATACACATGCATAGTCGCTTTCTTTGTTGGTTCTTGATCAAATCCAAACCAAATCGACTCGCGCAAAGGTTGTTGGCAAGGCTGCAGGCCTCAATGGAACGGGCCTATACGAGTACATTCGCAAGTGCATTGTGGAAATACCGCATAAGTTGACATACCTAAGCCATAGCCCAACTCAATCACAACAAATTCCATGTCCAGTTCTGGCGAGAGCTGGTGCATTTATTGGTTGAACCAATTCGTTGAGCTTGACAACCCTGTAGGTGAACACATCGGAAGCTGCCATGGCTGGACAACTATATAACATTCTCTGATTGTGGCAACTGAGAACAGCAGGAGACAGGAGCAAACAATAATGTTGATGAGCCTACACACAGAGGTTGACACGGTGAACCTGGTTGCTGCCGCAAACGTGCTGATTGAAGGCACTACACGCAAAGCATCGAGCCGAGCTGGAAGCAGCGCTCAAGGCACGAGTTGTGCGAATGTCAGCTTTTGACAGTGCCCGGATGGCAGTTTCTAGTTATTCCCAAGCCATTGGGCAAGGTCCACCTTTTTCTTACGAAGCATGCGTACATAAACGTAGCATGCTACATAGTATAATATGTATGGTACCGTTATACACAATTATACACATACATGTTGGGTACAGTTTGATGTTCGGCAATGCCATCAGTGGCCTCCTTGCTCATGCCGCGAAAGGAGGGCTTAAATTAGCAAGCATGACAGCCATGTTTGAAAACAACGAGTGCTTCTGATAGGAGTTTGCTTGTGCGAAGCATCCAGGGGCGCATTGTGCCGCAATATTCATGACATTTGTCTTATTTGCGTCGAGATGGCTACCATTGGAGTCCATGCTGACGGCCAATCCTTGCATGGCGTCCGGGTTCAATATGTATATATATATATGTATATATATATATATATGTATATACATATATATATATATATGTGTGCGTTTGCAGCGGCATTGGCCAGCCTGACCAGCACCTAGACAACGTTACACAATAGCACAAAAGCGATTTGACACCGATGCGCCAGTGCTTTGCAGGCACTTGACGCATCGGCACATCCTCCAAGACCACTCTGGGTAATATGAGCGTTCCATGTAGGCAACCAAGTGTCGATCGCATTGCGTTTGTCTCCTTGTAGGTTTGTCAACACGGAGTTTGCGAATTGAAGACCTTTTTCGGCTTCCGTGTGCATAGGCAGCCAGAGGGTTGAAATGGTTTGAAGCAACGTGCGCGTTTTTAAGTCTTCACTGGCTGGAGTGGCAGGATATCGTTTCGGTAGAACCAGAATTCGGGTTTACGCCATTGCTCATGTATTTTGGGTGACCTCACTGAAAGGCTATTCGTAGCCCATCCGTCACGGATCGCCAAACCGTCTGCGTGGCACTTTCCTGGATCATTGGCAGACACACGTTTACCTTTGAGTAAATGTGCTGCTACTCTATGGGTTTGCCCCTTTTCTACTCCCTGAGTTCCTGGACCTTAAACTTTTCAGGAGGTCTTTTCTGACCAATCCACTCAAGTGAGTTTAGGGGACCCCCAAACTGGTGGTTCTCCTTTTGGTGTTCCTTTAAAACCACAAACGTGGGTACTCTCAAACAAAACTACACCCATATGTTACATTCACTCGCCCCATGCGTGGTTGCCAGAGACACGTGACGCTGCAAGACGCATACGCAGCGTACAGTGGCTCGCTCTCGCCGGGCAGTGTGGGGATTCTGTGGGATTCCATCGCCATGGCGCGCTGGGCGAAGGAACCGTTGAAGCCGTGCCGTGGCGCGCACGCACCCTCTTTCCAACAACCATGGAAATTCACAAGAATTTTGAGCGACTACAGTCTTCCTGAAAAGGCACGTTCGCTTTCATGAGTAGGGGTAGCCTTCTTCGCTCATTGCTCCCTTGGATTTGCCAAAGTGAGCACACCATTCGAAAATCAGGTTTGCTCTTTTTGGTGGCTGAGAGGAGCTCTAAATGGAAAGGGGCAAAAGCGCACCGTTGGAGGTTTTTGGGAATGGCACATGCTCACGTCGAGGGTATTTAGGCATGTTGAAGACCACCTATCCAATATTATCCAGCTGACCTCTTTACGTCTCTGTCTTGTGCAAATCTTGTAGTGATCAGAGCTGAAGGCGTCTCTGTTGTCATCGCCTGACTGCGGACAGGGCGCGCTGGACGATCAGTTGCCATGCTTTGAGCGTTGCGGTTGATGTTACAAGCTTCCGCATTGGCCATGTGCACGAAACTGCACAATGTGCTCCTGGCAGCCTGCCATGTGAGCTAGCCTTTGCGGAAACACCTGTGTTTCATATTTTTCATGGGGTGTGTGTGGTCATTGTCATGGGGCCTAGGTACATTGACACCTTCGGTTTCGACCTGCCGACCCGCAGGGCATTGAATGTCCTTTCGGAGGCAAAGAGTGGGCTGTCGGCTAGGGCTTGCAGCATTTGCAGCAAAAGGAGTGTCATCCTCGAGGTGAGAGAGTGTGTGTGTGACTTGCAGTACAAGAAAAACCCGGGTGCTTTCAATCACGTCGCAGTATCTTGGGAACGCCCAACAATGGTGCATGGATTTGGACGGGATCAGCTTGAGTCAGTCGAAGATACAGGCAGATTTTGATTGCAACTCGACGCAGATTCATGTCAATAATCCGTTGAAGCAAGCCTTCTAACAAAGGCTTCTGTGTTGTTGCTTGTTTGCTTGTTTGCTTTCAGAAGCGTCCTGGTTTCTTATTTATTTAAATAAGTCTTGCCCGCCATGCTGACAAGCATGCCTTCAGTCATGAGCTTTGTCCATTCGATGGCTCAGGAGCTTTTGGAGTGCATGGCAAATGCTTAGCCCCTGTCAGGTGGCATCACCGCAGCGGAGTCGGCGGGAGTCGGTCACTTCCCCAAAGGTCCGGGAGTCGCTGCCCTCCGCAATCTCTCCCAGCATCTTTGAGACCAGCGACATCGAGGCAACTGGAGAGTCGGCAGTTAGCATTTGTTTGCTTAGACACTGACAACATTGTGCCATGTTTGGGACCGGACACATGAGAGATGAACCGTGCGGAGACAACGAACCCGGTGGAGCGGTTTTGGCTGAATTGTCGCACCACCCGCCTCAAGAACAGTCACGGCACACCTTGAAAAGAGCAGGAGCCGCCAATCGGTAGTTTCTATGGCCCTCAATGCAATGAGTTTGTTGAGCTACTTTGGTGCCGTTTGAGATCAGTGGTCTTATGCAGGACCTCAATGCCACCGCTGACCTGACCATAGACGTGCGAGAAACTTTGCAAGTCGTGTCCTCTTCTTCTGTTGAGGTGATTGAGAGCACAAGCAGCCATCGGAGGGACTTGACTTATACTTGACGGAATGGGGGTACAAGCCATATGTAATATATGCTAAAGGATGCTATAAATGCAGTGTATGTGTGTGTGTGTGAAGTACCGTCACGGAATAATGTTTGCACTTTGTTTGCTGCTGCCTACAAATAGTGCCTCAAATCTTGTACCAGTCTTTCGGGCTTGATGACACATGCTTGAAAGATTTGCTGCCAGAGCACCACCGACCCCTTTCCTCCCCTTCGCTGACAACGGAAAATCCTAGAGCCCAGGTCTTAGAGAACTCTTAGAGGGGGGGTTTCAGATTCATGGATCCACTGGCTTCAGATTGCTTCAGTTTGCTTCGACCATTTAAAAGCGGCCAAATCTTTGTCCAGCAGGACGCCCGTCAGAGCCGCTTTGCGTCGCCAGGAGCTGCGGGAGCTACGGGAGGAGAGGGAGAGAGCTGCCAGCGCATGGGCGAAGAAGGAAAGAGAGCTGCAGGACCGAATCAGCGATTGCCAGACTTTGCTTCTGAACACTTTGCCTTCTTGGGGTTCTAAGGAAATAGTTTGCTGGCTGGGGGTAGTTTGGCCAGAGAAGTGAACCCGGCTCGACGCTCATCGGACTTTTGGATTTGATATAGCTCCAGTTTGCATGGGAGCATCTGAAGCGGAAGCAACGGAGGTAAGATTGACTTGCTGACTTGCATTCATTATTTGCAGATATTTGCAGGCCAAACTTGGGAGTCAAACTTGAGCCTAAGGTGCTCATGGTGTATTCGTTGCTGAGATATGCTGTGACTTCCAAGAAATAGAGAGGTCAGCACGATGCCTCGGTGTGTGTTTTTGCTCGTGCTTGTTTGTGTGTTTGTGTTTTTTGGTGTGTGTGTGTGTGCGCGTGTGTGTGTGTGTGTGTGTGTGTGAGTGTGTGTGTGTGTGTCTGTGTGTCTGTGTGTCTGTGTGTCTGTGTGTCTGTGTGTCTGTGTGTCTGTGTGTCTGTGTGTCTGTGTGTCTGTGTGTCTGTGTGCGTGTGCGGGTGCGGGTGCGGGTGCGGGTGCGGGTGCGGGTGCGGGTGCGTGTGCGTGTGCGTGTGTTCGTTGAGTCTGACTCACCCTTTTTGCTGGTTTCAACACTGATATGGCTTGTTTAAAATTGTGTGTGTGCGTGGATGGTTGGATGGTGGTTCACGAAACTAAGGAGCTGTGTGTTTCTCATGTGAAGCCTTGAGGCAGGGGCAGCAATTTTAGCATCCCCTAGCATTTTCTACCTTTGTGTGGGGTTGTACCTGCCCCTTGTATGCTTGACTGCGCTCAGCTGCGATCCACTTGTTCCCTGGCGTGTATGGGAAGACGGGTATGGACAACAGCCTTCACAGCGCATACACCTTTGGAATGCCCCAGCATGGATCCAGTTGACCTTGGCTTTGGACTGCAGGAAAAGCTAGCAGAGAAGGAGGCTTTGGTGGAGAGGCTGCAAGAACAATGCCAGCTGCTTGACTTAAAAGCAGTGTTTGCTTTTGCCTCAAGACAAAATCCCTTGCTGATGGTTGATGCGTCATGTATACAATAAACATTTTGGGTGAGCCGCAACACTGTGGTGGTACGTGTTGCTGCTCAATTTGCTGTGTGGCAACATCATAATGCCTGTGTGTCAACGTAATTTGCCGCAATTTGGCAATTTACCCAGGCTTGGAATTGACATACTCGCTGCTAGCAACTGCTAAATTGACTCCTAAACAAACGTCAATGTTCATTGGATTTGGATGCTTTGCGCAAATTGTGACCAGGAGCGCTTGGACACGAAATCCAGTGCAGTACGGCTTGTTCAGACAACACACTGACCTTTTACTGTTACATGAGCTGCGTATCAACACACAGTGCGAGATCGCAGCTGGTTGTGGCTGATCGATTCCGACCAACATGGCCAGGGCCCTCGCTTGAGAAGGCGGCAGCGTTTTCTTGGGTGGCATTCAGAAATCGGAGCAATTTTGTGCGGTGAGTATTAGATGGAAGCCAAGGAAGGAACCCATTCATGCAGTTTCCTGTAAAGTGAATGACTGATACCAAGTGTACATGTCATTTCGGTGAATTAATGTTGGCTGGCGGCGACATGCAACACATATTAGAAGCTTCTTTGCTCACTCACAGAAAGCTGGCACA